CTAACTCATAGTGGCTCTAGAGCTGACTTGCTGTTAGGAAGGGCCCCATCAGGACAGGTGGATTACTGGGGCATGACCCAGAAGGGTACACCCCTGCCATGGCTCACCCTTTCTCTCTCTGCTTCCTGACCACCATGGCATGAGTAGCTTTTCTCTGCCCAGGCCCTTCCACCATGTGGGAGAACATGGACTGAAACTTCTGAATGGTGAGCCAAAATAAACTTCTCCTGCTTATGTTGTGGGTGTGGGGTATTGTGGCTCAGTGATGTGAAAGTGGCTAAGACAAGACAACTCTACTCTAAGTTCACATATTCTGTCATAATGTAATTTTTTCCATTTGGGATGTTTTGGTTGTGGCAGAGGAAACTGACTGTGGTCAAGTTAAACATGACAAGAGTGGGCATTTACCCCAAGAACACTGGGTCTCTCATAAGACCAGCGGAGAGGTGGGAACACTTAGCCTGAGAGGGGACAGGGCAGGAGCCTGGACACTGCAGGTAGCTTTGTCACGCAGGAGAAATGTCCCTCAGGCTGTCTCAGATGATGGCCTACCTGGGGAAAGGCGGGGTAGCATGGCAGAGGTAGCATTCTGGTGCCTACCTCCAGGAAAGGCAGCCCCTCCAAAACTATGTGGAATGGTGTGGGGTAGGGGCAGTCATGCTATTATCAGAAAAGATAAAATTAAAATTAAAATAAGCAGGGGTGCAGCTCAGATAGAATGCTTATCTAGGATGTGTGAGGCCCTGGGTTCAACCTCCAGCACCAAAAATTATTAAACTATTTTTAAACAGTTTTATTTAAAAATAGGAAAAGAATGTCAAAAACATCCCAGTCAAAACAGCTAGTCAAAAACAACAGATTTGTACTAAACAGTCATGTCACCACACTCAGCTGGAGGTCTCATTCTTGGATTTCTTCGAGGGAGACTCTAAACAGGCTGACTGCTTTGTCCTTGGCAGCTGTGACTGGTGCTAAGTGCCTCCGTCACAGTCTCCTGAGTCCTTGACCTCTTTGCCACCACAGGGACAGACAGCATAATTTTGAAGAATGCCATCCTGAAGAAAACCATCACCTTATCCATTCTTTTCACTTCAGTTGTGTTCAGTCTATTGCTTCATCTGAATGGCCTCTTGTTGGAAGTGATCTGGTGGTTTTCAGTAGAAGAAATTCCACTAGAGTCAGGCACAGGAGATGTGCCAGGTCCTCCACCTTTAATTCATCACTAGGCCATGTACACCCAGGCAAGCTCATACATGCAAAACAACTGTTCCCTTCAATGTTCCATCACCATGTGACTTTCCAGAAAGAGAAACAACCAGGTATCAATTAAACTATACCTATTAGAGTCCCCAACACAAAGGACAGAACAGTTGTTTCTACAGTGACACTGAAATTCACCTTTTGTATGTTGGTGGTGTCTGAGTGTCACAGCATTAGATTGTGAAGAATTCTGTGTCTCATAACAGATGATACAGGTCAGTGAGCAGACAAGGAGAAGAAAGTAGCCAGAGCAGGCTGACAGCAACAGAGGGATGGCTTTTCTGAGTGGCCCTTTGAAGAGAGTCTTGGACAGAAACTTCACATTGAGCTTCTCCCATTGGGCCAGAGTCCGGTGGCTGAATTGTCACATTTCCAGGTTGACACAGCTGCAGGCATCCAAGAGGGGAAGGGATGCTTTGATAAGGAACACTCCAGGTCAGAGCTGCTGGTGTCAGCCAGTGCCCTGCAGCAAAGGTGAGCTTGTGGTGACTCAGTCCTATGTGGAGGCAACCAGCACCCGTAGTACCTCCTTCCCCCAGAGCCTCGAGATCCCTCCAGCTCCAAGCACAGGCCGAGGCAGCCTCCAGGGCACAGGAACACAGGCAGTAGCAGGTACAACAGCCAAGACCAAGGAGGCAGCCATACAGGCCGTGCCTTGGATTCCCGAGGGAACCCAGCATGAAGGTGCATTGTGAGGTGGCTGGAGGTGGCAGTGAGATCAGCATGTAGGGACATTCCTCCGTGGGCTCCCATGATGAGATCTGCTGAGGCTGAAGGGAGCCATAAAAAATTGTCCAGTTGCACTGTTCAGGCTTGTGGAAATCAAAACTAAGATAGTAAGTTCTTTAATCTCTTTCCAAAATGCTGCTTGCTCTCTGACTTGATCTGGGTGCACCCCCTCCTCTCTGCCTCATTTTCAATCTATTCTCTAGTATTTCATTTCACGTCTTTAGGCAGATTTTGCTAGAAATGCAGTGAACTCAGGGTAACCATCCATCAAGTGTCTTATTCCGAACTCAGCCAAGTTACTCCCTAGTTTTTTGAAAGTCTATTCATCTGGGGGTTGACCTGAGGCCACTTCATTGGCCTCACTGTGAGGCTCCACCTTCCCAGCAAAGGAAAGCTGGCTCTTCTGAGCACGTCTTACCTGGTGTCAGTCAGTTACCGCACAGCCCCGAAAAGGCCCTGTCTATAAGGCTGGAATGTGGCGGCTCGCCTCCCTCCTTGCCTCACTCTCTTTCCGGCCCTCTGCGCAGTGGCCACATGTGCCTCTGCTCTTCCCCAAAAGAGAGTGTTTCCCACAGTCCTGGAATTCTTGATTCTGCATGCATCTGCGTGGGAAGCCAACCAGGCGGCCTGGTATGTTTCATATGTTTCCATCCAGCTGTTTCTAATCACAAGGAGTTTCGGCAGTGTGAGCCGCTCCTTGTCTCTTGGACCTGCAGTTCAGCCTGTGCTTTCCACACCCCGTGTCCACTGGTTCCACCGAGGCTGGAGATGGAGACAGCAGGGATGAAGGGGCCTGGATAGTTAGGGAGTATGAACATTACTAGGGCTTCAAGAGGAGGCTAAGTGTTTGGGGAAATGCAGAAGGTGGACCTGCCCAGTGGTGTCCTTCCCAGCTGGGAGCATCTGGTGCAGCTGCCACTCGTGTGAAGTGTCTCACTTGTGCATCATGAGTGCACACCATTGTCACTTCTGCATGTACCACTGAGTCCCATCCTGAGCTTGGTGGGAAGGGTCTTGACCTCCAAGGACCGGAAGGGAAAGTACTGCACCTTTTTCACTAACTTCTAACTACAGTTGTGCATTTCTTCCCACTATGAATGTGAGTGACAAACCACAGTAGTGTCAGCATCACCTCTGTGGCTTTGTCAATAGATGACATCTCAATTGTTTTTATTTTGCTTGAGTTAGGGTTTGTGCTATGACTATTTCAGGATACAGTCATCGGGGGCTGGGGATTTAGCTCAGCGGCACAGCGCCTGCCTGGCAAGTGCAAGGTCATGAGTTTGATTCCTGGTACCAGAAGAAAAACAAAAAAAAAAAAAAAGAGAAACTTCAGGATACAGTCATCTTTGGACCTCCATAAGGCTTTTTCACTATGTAAGTAAAGAAACACTTTAGTGAGTAAAGAAACATTCCATAAATACATTTTTATGCTGTACTACTGATTTTCAAAAAAGTGGATTTTCTTTATGTAGATCTTCCTCAATATACACCTTTATGTCCACCTCCTCCTATGATGGTGTTACATCACATAAACCCAGTAGGAGGCTGGGCATAATGGTGCAGTTCGTAATCCCAGCATTCTGGGAGGGTGACATAGGAGGACTGCAAATTCAAGCCTTGGCTGGGCCACTCAAGGAGACCTTTTCTCAAAATAAAAGGTGTGGTGAGAGGTGCAGCAGTGTGCTCAGTCTGAACATTTGGGGTTCAATCCCCAATACCAGAAAACAAACGAACAAAAATCACTATGAAATAAAAATATTGCAAACTGAAAATGTACTTAATACACTAAATGTACTGAACACTATAGCTTAGCATAAGCTGCCTTAAAAAGACTGAGAATACTTATGTTAGTCTGGCACTGGGCAAAATCATCTAACATAAAGCTACTTTATGACAAAGTGTTGAACATCTAATACAATTTATTGCATATCTGTATCTAAAAACTCTGGCCGCACAGTACACTGTAGAGTTTGTTGTTTCCTTTCATGATCATAGGGGAAAGTAGGCACCTGCCATTGCCCAGCATTGTGAGAGAAGAGTATTGTATTATGTACCATTAGCCCAGGAAAGGATCAACATTCAGAATTTAAAGTCCAGGTTCTACTGAATGCCTACTCTTTCATCATTGTAAAGTTAGAAAATTGTTAAGTTGAACCATTTTCAGTTGGGGATAATCTGTGATTCATTGCTTATTGACCTTTGACCATAGAAGCTACTAACCCTGCCCACCCTTAAAGTGTTTATGGTACAATAATTGCAAACTTTTATCTACAACATAATTATGATGGTTTGTGGAGGACTGCCACATCTCCCCTTCCCCGACCCAAATGTGTTATACTTACTTGTGAACCGTGCAGGCTGTATAGAGGTGATTTCTCTAGGAATCTGGCTGAGGCTGTGTACACACTTTCATGTAACCTAGTGGGTGGCATGTTGGGCTATCATTGCTCCTCACCAACAGCCAGAGTTGAGCCCCGATAAGTGGATTGTGTGACTGTGGGTTTAAAATATGAAATAACATTTCTGCTGAGGCCTGTGTGACTCCAGAGAAAATTCCTTCCCAGAACTGACTACAAAATGGGCCACTCATCAAACACAACCTAGATCTGGTTGTTCTTTTCCTTTTGCAAGAATGCTTTGTTTCCACTTTCACAAGCCTTGCCTGCCTAGCCACTTATCTAGCACATCCAGTCGTAATCCCCTTAGCATTTTCCTCAGTGTGAATGTGTCTAATAAATACCAAGGCTCTGGCTGCCTTGTGTCCTTTCGTTCCCTGTGAACCACTGGTCATCCCAGATCCCCACTTCATTGCCATTTTTGTCTTTTGCTCTTTCCTTTCAGCATGCACTATAACACCTTGCAGGAGATTGTGGTCCGCTGTACGGGCCAACCATAATGGTTGAGTGATTGTGTCAACTTAAGAAGTTTAGTTAAGAGAAGCTTAACTAAATTAGCTCAGCAATTCCACACCCTTGGATGAAGAAGACCACGCTGGGGTGGCTCCTCACCTGGATAGTATAAAGGGGAAGTGAAGAAGGATGGATCTGCTTCTGTTTCTTCAGAGGAGCTCCACTCTTTGCCTTCACATTGGATGTCATCTCCTGGCTCCCGGAGCAGACTCTTTGGCTTCCAATGCAGATCCTGCAGCCTTCCTTCATAGACTCTTCTGCCTTCTGCCTCAGATCCATTGGCCTCCTGGTATGGATGTGCATGGGACACTACAGTGAGTTCCATACCCTGGACTGAATCCTTGGGTCTCCAGTGAGTATACACCCTCAGCACTCTTCCTCATCTGACTCTGTGACTAACCATCATAAGCCAATCTTGCAATTTCTTACACATCTGTATATCTTGTGTTATAGTTGTTTCTCTAGTAAATACTAAGACAACATAATATAGACTTGAAAGACAAGTTTGCAAATTATAAACTTTTAATTACATCATACTTGCTTATGTAGAAAACCCCAAGTAATCTTAAACACCAAACCAAAACAAAACAACAACAAAAACCACCAGCAAAACTCCTGGGCTAGTAATGAGTTTGATAAATTGATATGACACAAACCTAACACACACCGAAAAAAACTGCATTTCTATATAGTACTGACAACAAACAGGTAAAGACTGAAATTTTTAAAAAATCAATATTATTTACCATTGATTCGAAGAAAACAAAGTACTTAGATTTAATTCTAACAAAATGTAAGTGTGATCTGTATAATAAAAATCATAGTGTTGATGGAAAAATAAAAGAAGACCTAAACACTTACATAGATATATTCATGGATTGAAAAATCAACATGGTATAAATGTTAAGTCTCCCTAAATTGAGCTATACATTTATTGCAAGTCCTACAAAACTCCCAGCTAGATTTTTTGTAGAATAACCTTATTCTAACGTTTATATGAAAAGGAAGAGAGCCTCAATGAAATAATTTTGAACATTAAGAAAGAATAAAGTAGGAAGAATCACCATCTCCAATGTTAGAACTTAACACAGTGGCAGTAACCAAGGCTGTGTGGCATTCACAAAGGGAGAGATAGACACATAGGCCAATGAAGCATCACAAAGAAGAATCACAACATAAATATGCTTGCTTAATTATCAATAAAATAAAAAAATTAATTCTATAGAGGCAAGTCAGACATCAATAAATGGTGCTAGAATAAAAGGATAGACAGAGGCAAGGAGAAGGAGAAGGAATAAGCTTAATCTAAACTTCACCCTTTATAAAACACTGACTCAAAATGAATCATGAAATTAAATGTAACAGTGCAAGGCCGGGTGTGGTGGTGCACACCTGTAATCCCAGCGCTCAGGAGGCTGAGGCAGGAAGATTGTTGTGAGTTCAAAACCAGCCTGGGCTACAAAGTGAACTCAAGGCCAGCCTGAACTGCATAGTGAGAGCCTGTCTCAAAAAGACAAAAATAAATAAATAAGTAAATAAAACAATACAAAGCTATGAACCATTGGAGAAAATCTTTGGGACCTAGAGGTAGGCAAAGAAATCCTAAAACTAACACAAAAACATGATCCAAAAAGAAAAAATAATTATAAATTTCATCTCAACAAAATCAAAAACTTCTCTGTGAAAGACACTGTCAAAAGAGTGAAAACAAATTACACACAGATGTGAAATACCTGCAATCATATATCTGACAAAGGCCTTGTATCCAGCATGTATAAAAACCCTGAAATCCTTACAGTAATAAGAAAGATGTATTTAAAAGATGAACAAAATGCACACAGAGCAATTTCAACAGAGATGATACCTGCATGGGAAATAAGCAATGGAAAGAGGTTCAGCATCACTAGAAATTTGAGAAATCCAAATTCAAACCACAGTGAAATTTTATTACATATATCAGAATGACTGAAATGAAAAAAATCATAACATCAAATGCTGGCAAGGATATGAGGAAACTGGTTCACTCCTACCTTGCCAGGGATAGTGAAAAATGGCCCATGTACTCTGGAAAACAGTTTGGCAGTTTCCTATCATGCTAAGCATGCATATATCATGTATCCCAGTCATTGTACTCTGGAGTATTTCTTCCAGAGAAATGAAGATATATTTTCTTTCCAGGTCTTATAAACAAATGTTCATAGTAGCTTTACTGATAATAACTAAAAGCTAAAAATTACCCAGGAATCCTTCAAGAACTGACCGCTTATGCAGTCGGAAGTAAAGAAGAATGAATTACTGATAAACATAGCAACTTAGATAAACACAATGGACATCATGTAGAGTGAAAAGAACCAATCTCAAAAGAAGTCACCTGCATGAGTCCATTTGTACAGCAGTCATGAAATCATGCAATTATGCAAGACACAATCAAAATGTACAGTGAATGTTTTATTTTTTTAATGTATTGCAGTAAAAGATATTGCCATTACTTCCCCTCTAAATTCTACCCCTCACTGGGAACACATTTGTCCCATCATTCTTGCCATTTTCTGAAGTTGTTCTGGAAGTTCTCTTTTGTGAGAATGGTTATGAGGTATAACCAAAAATTTGGTGAATACTACTACCAAATAAATGTGCTCAATATGAGGGGGAGTGTTTTGAGGGTGATAAATGTCAATATATTTTTCAGCGTACTAATTTTTTTAAACCTTCACCATAGTGTGACTCACACCTCATAGGGAGAAAAGCTTAGTCAGGTATCAGGGATGCAAATAGTGATGGATGTGGCTGTAAAGAAGTAAACTGGGGGAATTTTGTGATTATACAGCTGAGCATGTTGAGTGTAGCATTAGTTATGCAGCATTCAGGACACAATTGGACAGAGACAGACACACAAAAACTGCATGCATAACTGAGGAAGTATACCTGATAATAGATAGTACCAATGTAAAATTTGTAAATTTTAAGATCTGGAGGAAGGAGCGAAGTGGTTTTTCTTATCTTCTTCCCCTTGGACCTGACCGATAGAAACAACTCTTGGGAAAAGTAAAATAGATACCATTTTGTAAACTAGGAGGATGTAATGTAGTCAGGAAATAAATATCTGGTCTTTGCCACAGGTGCCTAACTCAGAGCTCCTAAAACTCTCAGAATGGCCTTCATGATAGGAGTGACTTGTTCTAATGAAGTGACTTTAGGTGGGCTCCTAGATGGGAGGTTACCAGAAAGACCAAGCCATGCACAGAAGCTTGAAACTTCTAAGCCTTACCTCCATCCTCCTTGGAGAAGAGAAAGCCTGGAGACTGAGTGAATAATCAATCGTGCCACAATGAGGAAGCTACCATAAAAACCACTATACTGCAGGGTCCTCCCAAACTTCATCCTGTGTACCTCTTCTGGTTGTTTATTTTTATCCTTTGCAACATGCTTTTTACACTAAATCAATAAATGTAAGAAAATGTTTCCCTGAGTTCTGTGAACTATTATTACAAGAGATCATGGGACTTATCCTCACTTGGTCAGAAGAACGGTGACAACCTAGGACAGAGAGTTGAACACTGAGACCCACGGTGCCCAGCCTGGACTAGGCAGGACAGGGCAAGAAGCAAAGGGCATGGAAAAAGGTGTCTTAGAGGTCTTGGCTGCCAGCACCTGGATGGATTGAGAAAGGTGATCCTTGGACAGCTGTCCTAACAGCTGCATGGATATGACTGGGCTTCTTGAAAGGCAGAGTGGAGCAAGGGAGGGACGAGCACCCAAGTGTAGAGTTAAGGAGAGACATCCAGATGGACTTTTCCTGCAACAAGGGAGTTATTGGGCTATGGTTGAGTGGGTATTTTTGATATAGGACAAACGGTGGATGAGAAATGGATGATACAGCAGAGAAAGGAGGATGGGAAGAGAGAAGTGCAGAATGGGATCACTTTTGATCAACTTTTGATCCAACACAGTGCAGGCTCATTTGGTGGGAACCTAGAAAGTTCCAGAGGGAAAGCAGGGAGGCACCCAGAGGTGGAAAAAGATGACAGAGTGGGGATGTGACATGTTTTCTAATGCTTATGTTTTTTCAGTGAATGAGGAAGTGAGGTCACCCGAGGAACTGTAGGTAACAGAATCGCTAAGGGCACTTGGGCCTGCTGGAGGGTCCTGGTGAGGACCTCAACGAGACCAGCTTGTAGGCCAGACGTTTCCCCATTCAGGCCAAGGGTTAGCTAGGGTGGGACTTTTGCAGGGGAGAATGAAAAATGAAATAGGACAGTGTCTGAGGAGCATATCTGTCCCATGCCTGACCCACTGTCATATTTTAGAAGCATATAACATAGGGTTATGTGTTGTGGTTCTGGGTGGGAGGGGAATCAACATTGGGACAAATGACCCTTGTAATCTTACCCACATCAGAGACATTTTAGATTGTAGAGTTCAGGTTGGAACATCTTCAGCCTTTGGAGCTGATTGGAATGGAATGGATGTAGTCTGCATGTGAGAAGGACATGGGAATTTAAGGCACAGGGAGAATGTTAGGTCTCAGTTTGTGCTCCCCCCATGCATATGTTGAAATCCTAACCTCTAACATTACTATCATTGTATTAGAAGGTGGGGCCATTGGGAAGTGATTAAGTTTAGATAAAGTCAGGAGAGTGGCGCCTACACGAATAAGGTTAGTATCCTTACAAAAAAGAGCTGTAATATAGCTCTATGACTTAGGGAGAAGGAACTATCCATGAACCAGGAAGTGGGTCCTCACAAACACATAATTTGCCAGCACCTTTATCTTGATCATCCAAGGAACTGTGAGTAGCAGATATCTGCTGTCTGACGCTCCCCAGTCCTTGGTTTTGCATTTCAGCAACCAGAGTGAACTAAGACAAGGGTGATTGAATCATGACCCAAGGACTCCAAACTGGCTGAGTTGGAGGAGTTGGGCATGTGGGGTGTCCTTAGGTCATTGTTTAGGCTCTGAGTGACGTCACCAGCAGCCAAGGGTAGTACAAACATGGGAGCATGGTCGGCAGGACACAAACTCAGGGTGACATGTGGGAAGTGATGTCCCAGAGTTGTGTCAGCCTCTGAGCCTGGGCAGACCTGTAGTCATAGGAGCAGAGATGTCTGGAACTGAATCCAGGCCTCCCAAGGGGATGGCGAAGCCATAGCACCAGGACAGGAGTGGTATTAACAAGCATGAGCCTGTGACAAGGATGAGACACACGGAATTTGGGTTACTAAGAGTGAAAAATTCTAATCAGTATACATAATCTTATGTGTAAAGAATATAAAAAGAGAAAGTGTGGAGTTTTTTTTTATAAGGTACACATGAATTGTTTCCTTTATTGAGAAAAAAAGTAATTTTGTTTAGTCTGGAGCTTTTGTTGTTT